GGGGTGGGTATTAACATCCCCGCCCCCGCCCCGTCCCCGATTTTATAATCGGGGAAAACTCGAACCCGAACCCGAACTCGATAAACACAAGTTTTTCCCATCCAAATCGGGGCGGGTTCAGGCGGGTACCCACGGGCGGGTTAGATTGCCATGCCTAACATTGATATTCTAAATATAAAATTAAACTCCAACATCAAATGAAATGGAAATGGTATAATTTGACCAAAAGTATTAATTATTTGTCATAAATAACTAAGAAGTAGATATATATTCTTTCCAAAGAGTGTGATTCATAATTTGCGACGATAGATTCTTGATATAATTAAATATTAATGACTGAACAAGCAGACTCATATATCCAATAATGATTTTAAGAGAAAGCAATAAAATTAAGAATTTAATTCCACGTCTAATTTTATTAATTTTTGAAAATAACACGCTATTAATTTTGTGTTAAAATGATTTTTAACTAAAAAATTTCCATAAATGCGTCTGCTCCCATTTCTCATTTTCTCTTTCCTAGCATGCGGCAATGCCACGTGTTTTTATAAATTCCAATCGCATATATAACTTGGTAGTTGGCATATATATTTAATCTTAAATTATTGTCTACATATTGTATCTATACTAATATATAAAGGGAATACTTTTTTCAGTAATTACTTTAGTCTTTATTTTTTTATCATTATATTCTTTTATTTTATATATTCTAAGTTTGAAATAAGTCAAATAACAACAATAAAATGTCATAATACAAATCTTAAAAAGTCGAAAACACGTCCACAAATCAAAAACATAAAACAAGATCTAAATTTATCAATCACCACGACGATGGTGACTAGTGGGTGTTCGTCGGAAACTGTAGGGACGACGCCGGAAGCTACGACGACGGTGCTAGAAGCTGCAACGACAACGCCGGAAGCTGCAATGACGGAAAGTGCGTTCGTATGCAGCAGAGATGCGCGTTCGTATGCGGCGGAGGGAGAGAATATATCCTCTTTCATTCAAGAAATTTACATAAATTTCACTAAATACGGCAGTCTCATTTTTCATATTCTAGTTCTCATACAGATATACTGATAATATAAATTATTTTATACTATTAATTATGTAATTTTTTTTTAATAATTTTAGTAAAATTAATAAGTTTATTACATATGATAATTTTCATTGATGACGGTGCAAAAAATCTTTATAACGACACCATATAAATTATTTTATCTTGAGTAATTAAACCTAGGCTTAAATATGTTTTTAGTCCCTTAAATTTAAGATAAATTTATTTTTGGTTCCTCAAATTTAAAATTGTTGTTTTAAGTCCTTGTAATTTTCAAAAATCTTGTTTTAGTTCTTTACGTCACTAATAACATATTTGAAAGTGACTAATTAAGACAGTTATGCAATATCAACCGGATTTAATATGATATTTTTACTAATAAAAATATCAATAGGTAGATTTTATGTAATAATATTTAATAAATTTTTTAACAAAATTTAAATATAAGGACTAAAATAATTATTTTTGAAATTATAAAGATTAAAATCAATAATTTTAAATTTAAAGGACCAAAAATAAATTTACCTTAAATTTAAGAGACTAAAAACATATTTATACGTTAAATCTAAACCCAAATTCCAATATCATAACAATGCTTCAAAGGCGTTTTCAATTTGGAATCTCTTTTTTGTGCTTACGCGATTGTTGAGTATACGAAACAGTTCGCCGCAACAACCCTCTTCCATGTCAGTGTCCACTCTCGCTCCACACTTCTTCACATTCCCTTAGGTATGTTCACCAAAAACCACTGTCTCATTTTGAAAATTATGTTGCCTGTAATCACTTTCCTACATTTTATTTCTGTTGTGTTGTAAAGCAAAACAACCTTGGACTCATCATTAAATAACACATGTGATGTGCTGTACATTGTCCTACATTTTTTTTATTAATTTATTTATTTATCCCTTCCAAAGTAGCCCTTGTCCACTCACAGATTTTCTTTTCTTTTTCTTCGTGATAGTTTACCATGGGGGAGAGAGTCACCACGAAGCACCATAATACGAGCTTCAACTACAGGTTCACACTTTAGACACAGGCTTTAGAATAACTTTTTGAGAGTTTCTCTCTCTATCGAAAAAACCGGTAAAAAAGTTCTAAAAACACTCTTAATTTAAGCATATATACATAGGACTGCATTATTGTAATTTTGCACAAGGTATGCAACACCGTGAGTGTAATGTAGTGAGTTTTTCTTCATTTACTGGCAGATGTTTCGGTGGATGTAGCCGTAGAGGAAAAAGAAAAACGGATTCCCAAAGGAGAAACTTGGTCTGTCCACAAATTTGGTGGAACCTGTGTGGGAAACTCTTCCAGAATAAAGAATGTTGCGAACATAATTATTGACGATGATTCTGAAAGGAAATTGGTTGTGGTCTCTGCCATGTCAAAAGTGACGGATATGATGTATGATCTTATCTACAAGGCTCAATCCCGAGATGAGTCGTATGTTTCTGCACTTGATGCAGTTTTAGAGAAGCATAGCTCAACTGCAGAGGACCTACTTGCTGGATATATATATATATATATATATATATATTTTCTTCTAATCCTAATTGTGCTGATTGCATCTTGCTTTCCTTTCATTCTGCAGAATGGGATTGACAGCAAATGGATGGATGCAAGGGAGGTCCTTATTGTGAATCCTACTCGTTCTGATCAAGTTGACCCTGACTACTTGGATATATATAATTAAAATTATTAGTAAAATTAATAATAATTTTTAATATAAATGTTGCGATAATATTAAGGAATGTGCATCCAAAACATATTTTTAATGAGACTTTAATATCAGTTTATATTATTCTTTTCATCTTCCACAAATTAAAGTTGTAGGCTTTAAATTTGAGTTGAGCTATGTTTGAAACAATTTAAATAGCTTTTGAGAGAATTTTTTTAAAATTAATTACCACAATTCTATATATTTAAAAATAAAATAAAAAATTAGGTTAAAATTATAATGAATATAAATATTTTTCATATTTTCGTTATTTACACATTTGCTTCATATTTGTTTAATGGATTATAATGAAAATATTCTTAACTATAGTTAGTTTTTACTCAACTAGCTATTATTAAGTTGCACCGACTTTTCTGTTATTCCGTTTCACTTCTGTTATTTCACTTCTGTTAGCTGATTTGTATATAAATACTGTGCAGATGGCTAATAACAAGAATGCAAGTTTTTGATCATTTTACGTGCTATTCTTCTTTACTTTTTCTCTCTTCGTGTTTGCATTTTTCTTATTATGGTATCAGAGCTCTTCAATTGAAGAGCTCCGCTGTGCACTCTTATTTCGGTGTTCTTTCTATTCTTTACCGCCATGAATGACGCATCAAAGCAAGCTCCAAATATGCATAGTTACCTCTACCTTCATCCAAGTGAAAATCCAGCAACAACACTTGTATCTCCATTACTTGATTCAACAAATTATCACTCATGGAGTCGATCGGTATTAACTGCACTCAACGCAAAGAACAAAGTTGAATTCGTTGATGGAAGTGCTCCACAGCCACCGAAATCGGATCCTGTCTACACTGCATGGCGCCGTTGCAATAACATGGTTGTTTCATGGCTTGTTCATTCAGTTTCTCTCTCAATTCGTCATAGTATTTTGTGGATGGAAAACGCTGATGAGATTTGGAAAGATTTGAAGTCACGCTACGCACAAGGAGATCTTCTTCGAGTTTCAGATTTACAGTTTGAAGCATCTTCCATAAAACAAGGTGATCTTTCTGTAACTGAGTTTTTCACTAAGCTACGTGTTGTCTGGGATGAAATTGAAAATTTTAGGCCAGATCCTGTTTGTGCTTGTACTACAAGATGCACGTGTAATGTTCTTTCGATTATTGCTCAACGCAAATTAGAAGACCGAGCAATGCAGTTTCTCCGTGGATTGAACGATCAATACAACAATGTCAGATCACATGTTTTACTCATGGATCCATCGCCTCCTCTCTCTAAAATTTTCTCGTATGTTGCACAACAAGAACGTCAACTTCTTGGAAACAATTTTATGATACAGGTTAACTCAGAAACGAAAGGAACAATGATCAATGCAGTTAACTCTTCAAATGCTTGTTCATATTGTGGACGAGCTGGTCACAATGAAAACGTCTGCTATTGCAAACACGGGTTTCCTTTGAATAATGATAATAAAGGTAGTAAAGGAATGTTCAATCGCAATGGGAAGATATGCACACACTGTGGAAAAAGTGGGCATACGATAGACATTTGTTATCGTAAACATGGTTTTCCACCTGGACATAGGCTATATAACGTCAAGAACGCTAGTGTGAATAGCACTGTGACTGGTGATGGCAAGGTCACTGATAATGATCAACAGACTTCTGAGAACCAAGATCTCCGCTTCTCACCTCAGCAGTTTCAAGCCCTACTAGCTTTAATACAACAGCCAAGTAATGGAAACTCAGCATCACACACTTCACATGTTAACCAGATCAGTTCTATTTCATCTTCTAATCCAGGTAAATGTCCTTCCGTCGTTTGTTCTGCAATTACACCACACACGACTCCTTGGATATTAGATTCAGGAGCCACTGATCACGTGTCTTCATCATTAACAAATTTCTCTTCATATATTACTATAAATCCCATTGTAGTTAAACTTCCCACAGGACAACACCTTGTTGCTACTCATTCTGGAACGGTGAAATTCACAGAGTCTTTCTTTTTGACTGATGTCCTATACATTCCTAGTTTTACTTTTAATCTCATTTCAATTTCTAAACTCGTTTCTTCTCTCAAATGTGAACTAATTTTTTATCTCAATTCATGTGTCATTCAGGACATGACCAACAAGCAGAAGATTGGTACAGTTGATGTAAATGGTGGTCTCTACCAAATTACACTTAAACCTGTCATTTCCCATTCTGTCTGTACTAGCGTTGTTCATCCTCGATGTAATAAAATACCTATTGACTTGTGGCACTTCCGTTTAGGTCATATATATCATGATCGTATGCAGTGCATGAAACAGTATTATCCGTGTTTGATAAGTAATAAGGATTTTATGTGTAACACATGTCATCACGCTAAACAACGACGTCTTCCTTTTCCTTTAAGTAATTCGCATGCATCTCAACCTTTCGAAATTATGCATATGGACATATGGGGTCCATGTTCCACAACTTCTATGCATGGACATAAATATTTTCTCACAGTGGTTGATGATCATACACATTTTTGTTGGATTTTCCTTATGTCTTCAAAAGGTGAGACTCGTACTCACATACATAGTTTCATTAACCAAATAGAAAACCAGTTTGGAAAAACTATAAAGATCATACGTTCTGATAATGGTGTTTAATTTTCCATGCATCAATACTTCATGAATAACGGGATCATCCATCAAACTACATGCATAGAAACACCTCAACAAAATGGCATCGTGGAATGAAAGCATCAGCATCTTTTAAACGTTACACGCGCATTGCTTTTTCAATCTAATCTACCTTCAAACTTTTGGTGTTTCGCTCTTTTGCATGCAACATATCTCATAAGCTGCATTCCCACTGCATTTTTAAATAATACTTCTCCTTTCGAAAAACTATATTCTCGACCATGTGATATTTCTAATCTTCGCATTTTTGGATGTCTGTGTTACACAAGCTCACTTACTGCTCATCGTACAAAACTCGACCCTCGAGCTCATCCTTCTATATTTCTTGGCTTTAAACCACATACAAAAGGATATCTCATATATAATCTACATTCTCGTACCCTTTTAGTTTCCCGAAATGTAATCTTTTATGAAGATTATTTTCCCTACGTCCACATTTCACCCACATCTTGTTCTGGCTCTCCTTCTCTTCCTATATCTACCTCTTTTATACCTTATTATCCTTTAGACAACTCTACTTCTTCTCCCAACCCGTCACCTATCTCTTCTCCCCTTACGTCTCATTCAGATGACTCATCTCATATTTCCCCTTCTCCAATTCGTCAGTCAACCTGTTTACGTCAACCTCCTGCTTACCTTAGAGACTTTCATACCGCCTTTACATCAAGTGGGATCACTTTTGCTCCAGGTATTCGTTATCCCCTTCATCATTTTCTTTCTTATCATCGTCTTTCTCCATCTTTTTGTCAATATATTATGTCTATTTCATCTATTTCTGAACCTAAAACATATGCTGAGGCCTCCAAGCTTGACTGTTGGCTTAAAGCCATGCACGACGAGATCACTGCTCTTGAAGCCAATTAGACTTGGGTTCTCACCGATCTTCCTCCTCACAAAATAGCCATTGGGTGTCGTTGGGTATATAAAGTAAAACATCATGTAGATGGATCCATTGAACGTTACAAAGCCCGTCTCGTTGCCAAGGGCTATACACAACAAGAAGGCCTTGATTTTCTTGATACTTTCTCGCTGGTGGCTAAGCTTACTACTGTGCGCCTTCTTCTTGCCCTTGCTGCTATACATAAGTGGCATTTTAAACAGCTTGATGTCAATAATGCTTTTCTTCATGGTGACCTTCATGAAGAAGTTTATATGCAGCCTCCTCCTGGATTATCTCTTTTGAAACCAGGTCAAGTATGTCGTTTACAGTGTTCTCTATACGGCCTCAAGCAAGCCAGTCGTCAATGGTATGCTCGTCTCTCTTCCTTTTTGGTTTCTCATGGGTACAAACACTCCACGTCTGATCACTCTCTTTTTCTCAAGTTTTCCTCAACTACGGTTACAGCTCTCCTTGTTTATGTAGACGATATTATTCTTGCTGGTAACAATATTCATGAAATTACCCATATCACTTATCTTCTTGATCAAACCTTTAAGATCAAGGATCTCGGGGATTTGAAGTTCTTTCTTGGGCTAGAGGTTGCTCGTAATGCGTCAGGCATTCATTTATCCCAACGAAAGTATGTTTTGGATATTCTTTCTGATAATGGGATGCTAGCATCTCGTCCTGCTTCGACTCCCATGGACTCTGGCACACGTCTTCATGCTTCTTCTGGCACACTCCTTTCGGATCCATCTACTTATCGTCGTCTAATTGGTCGTCTCATCTACCTCACGACTACTCGTTCAGACATTACACATGCAGTTCAACATTTGAGTCAATTTGTTTCCAACCCAACGTCTACTCATCATCAGGCTACTTTTCGTGTCCTTCGCTATCTAAAACGTGCTCCTGGTTCTGGGATATTTTTAGATGCTAATAGTTCTATTCAACTGAAAGCATTCAGTGACTCTGACTAGGCTGGCTGTGTTGACACTAGAAGATCCATCACTGGTTTTTCTGTTTATCTCGGGAATTCTTTAATATCCTGGCGTTCAAAGAAACAATCCACAGTTTCTCGCAGCTCTTCTAATGCTGAATATCATGCTTTAGCAACTACTACTTGTGAGCTTCAATGGCTTACCTATCTATTGACTGATCTTGGTGTTTCCTTTGTCCAACCTGCTTTGTTATATTGTGACAATCAGTCTGCTATTCAAATCAAGTTTTTCATGAACGTACGAAACATATCGAGATCGATTGTCATATTGTTCGTGAAAAGCTTCATGCTGGACTGCTCAAACTTCTACCCATTTCGTCTTCTCTTCAACTTGTTGATATTTTTACGAAGGCCCTTTCTCCCGCTATTTTTAATAACATTTGTTCCAAGCTGGGAATGCATGATATCCATTCCCAGCTTGGGGGGGGGGGGCTCTTAACTATAGTTAGTTTTTACTCAACTAGTTATTATTAAGTTGCACCGACTTTTCTGTTATTCCGTTTCACTTCTGTTATTTCACCTCTGTTAGCTGATTTGTATATAAATATTGTGCATATGGCTAATAACAAGAATGCAAGTCTTTGATCATTTTACGTGCTATTCTTCTTTACTTTTTCTCTCTTCGTGTTTGCATTTTTCTTATTAAATATAAATATTAATATACGCTAAAAAAAATTGTTGGTGACATAACATTGATCTCGAAGTCTCTTTATCGTTTGCCTTATTTTATTTTGTTTTGTTTTTAATGTTAATTTATTTTCTGTTTAAATTTCATTTTGCTAAAAGAATATCGAAATAATTGGTATATCATGGTACCTATCTAATATGAATGAAAGTTAATTAGCTATTGTGGTGAGACTCGTGACTTGATGCCCCGCAAAATTGTGAAAGATTATGTGTGAATCTGTATATAGGATTTCAATTCCGGTTCGTTTATAACATAACAATTTCATATTTTACAAAAAAATTAAAATTTTCCGAAATAATGGCAAATAATATCAAAATTAATAAAATATGAATAATATCATGATTATTTTATATCTTTCCTTTATATAGTGAAAGGGGGGCTTGCGGTAGAAAATCCAACCCGAATTACACTGCCCACTGCCCACACACTATGATAGTCATTAGCCTTTGTTGTTGGTGACATGCTTTTTAAATTTTGTTTTCACAACATGGCATGTGTTATGAATAATAAATAGATAGTTTAAATAGATATTAATAGATAATAGTTATAGATATTTTTGTATTTGTTTATAAATGGAATAAGGATAAATATGGTAATATTTATAATAGATAGTTTAAATAGATATTAATAGATAATAGTTATAGATATTTTTGTATTTGTTTATAAATGGAATAAGGATAAATATGGTAATATTTATATTTATAGATACCCATTAAATAAAATTATTTAAATATTTATATTTTTATCTTATATTTTTTATATTATTTTTAATATTTTAAAAAATTATCATTAATTCCAAATTTAAAAATTAAAATCAATTATTTATTTTTAATATTTTTATATAATTAATATCAAGTACAAATTTAAAATTATTTATAATATCTTTTTTTTTTTTTACTTTTTAAAAACTTACAAATATCTATATTTACTCGCAGATATTGATAAAATTTATAGAAATTCGTCTAACTGTTAGAATATGAAGTAACTACATAACAAATGTTTATTTAGCAGAATACAAAGTATTTTACTATATACTTCTATCCCAGTCATTCCTACTTTATTATAT